CTTTGGTTCGCGCGCCGTAGGCGACAGCCAGGGATGCAGCGACGTTTCTCGGGCTCCGGCAATCTCGGTAATCTCACCTAGCGAATTTCTGTTTCCACGTACGTGCGCATATTTCGCGCCGCGCCGCGGCGAACGTAAATATGAAATGCGTTTGGCCCGGCTGTCTGGGCCGAGGATTTGCCCGCCTTGTCTCCTACACTGCGAATTGCTTTGAGAATTGCTTCAGTCGCGGAGATCATTTTTGCGGGAATTTATGATACGACGGAATGCTGCGAAACGTTATTCTTTATTTGTTAATAGTCTTTTTATAATACGGAACATTATACTGAGAGCAAAGGGACAATAGCAATAACTATATTAAGTAAGTGAAGTAAATACTAGAGATTACTTTATACCATTCGTAATAATGAAATACATTAGAGATCGGCGTTACGTTCACGCAAACCTAATCCAGGAATCAGGGATATCCTCAGCCAGAAATGAAATTTAGTTTGGTCGCGAGAAACCGAAATCCGCGAGACTAGGATTTCCTCTACTTTTTACTTAAGAGATAAGCTCCGTGTTTTAAGAGCGTTGCGGGCGGAACGGTGTCGTAAAACCGTGGGTCGTCACGGGGAGGGAAACAACCCCTCGAACCGGTCCTCGAGCCGTGGCAGCCGGTGGATGGCGATGCCACCGCCGGAGAGGAGACTCGAATTTTAAAGTAGCTAGACCGAGAACCGAAATTGCCCGGAGCCGATTCTTTCCCCAGTTCTGTGCTTATTTCTTCATACAAATGTCCTCTTGCCTCGTGCAAGTTTTCGAAAAACTGTGTTGCAAATAATGTTACAAGTATCATTAATTGCATTTCAGTCTGTGCTCCCACGTGTCAAAGTTGGGAATGAGTATAATCTGTAACTTTTGTAATAAATAAAATATTGTGACACTCAGATGAAGTTAAGAATAAATATAAATTTGATTTTAATATGAAAATCAAAAATTTTAAACATCAATTCATCTCAATTCAAATAATTATTGTATAGAACATTTACTGTTCGTTTACACGAACAAATCATTGAAATTTTGTTACTAAGCGTTTGATTGGACAGTTACAAAATGAGTTGGTGTTTGAAGAACAATTCTAAGAATCTGAAAATGAACAAGGAGCGTCGCGAGTGAAAATTCGAGGACGCGTCGCGACCGGGAAGGATCCGGTCTTCCGCTCGAGTGTGTCGCGTGTCGCGAGAGCCCTCGCAAACGAAATCTACGAGACGGGCGAAGATCGCGGAAGCGTGAATTCGGCTGATCAAACGTCGCGACTATCGAGAGAAACGTCGCATCGGCTCGCAAACGGAAAAAGAGAGACACGCCGCGAGAGGGTGGAAACGAGGCGCGACGACGAGGCCAGGGAGGGAACGTTGGAGAGTCAGGGGTGAAGCGTGAGTAGGGAGAAAGAGACACACGGGAAGACAGTAACGTGGAGAGTAATGGGGGTGGCCGAGAGTAGGTGGATGGGTGGGTGGTAAGAGGTGAGCGGCCAGGGTACGCCGAAAGTCCTTTCTCGCTAAAAAGAAGGGCCCCGCAGGGTTGCTCGGAGGAGAGGAAGGAGCCTCTGAGACGAACAGAGACGAAAGTAAGAGAAAGAGAGAGAGAGAGAGAGGAGAGAGAACGGGGAGCGAGTTGGGGGCGGAAGTAAGTATTGATTCAGATTCAGCTAGTTAGCTATGCTCGAAGCAAGCACATCCCCTCTCCCGGGTGGCTCGGTTCGGCTACCTTTTCCTCCGACAGCCACCGGTCCTCTCTCTGTCTATCCGGCGCGGCGTGGCTCACGGTTGCGGGGGTGGACGGTTAGCGGCGGCTGAGAAGGCGACGCGGAAGCGGCGCAGAGGGTGGAACAGCCACGGTCTCCGCGGGGGTGGAGCGAAGAAGGGAGAGATCCGAGGGATGCAGAAGAGGAGGCGTATGTAGAATGGAAAAACGTGTAGTAGATTCAACGGTGCGAGGAGGTGTAAGATGTAGGAGGTGACAAGCATCTCCTTCGATCTTTCTTTCCCTTTGTGCACACCCGAACCCACCCTCTCGCCTCTTCGTTTCGCTCCCGTACCACCCTTCCATCCTCCTTGGCCCTTGTTATCCCACCGTTTCTTCTCTGGCTCCTTCTGTCCTCCTCTACTTATCTGTCTATCGTTGCAACTCCCTTTTATATTCCCATGACGACAGCCCAGATGCACTCGGCAGCCATACGAGAGGTGTATGTTAAAACTTCAGTCGATATTTTCTGTTGCTCGATGGAACCGGGAAACAGCCGCGGCTCGAACCGTCGCCTCGCGTCAACAGGCTGGCTTTTCACAAAATTTTGGCCGACTTCGCTCAACAGTGATCTCGCACCCATGTGATTATTTTTGGCAATGCAGAATAGGACGAAATATCTTTGAAACGAAATAAACTGTCCAAATTAACTTCCGAATAATCTTCCTTGCTTCTCTTCCTATCTTTAACCATTTCTGATTGATAAAAAACTCTGATCGAAGTAGCACATCTTCAGGAATACGTAACGAACAGAGCAATTGACAATCTATTTATTTACATCTGACACACTTTACACCAATGAACCGATAATTAATATCCATTCATCGCGTAAAAAAGCTTCAAGGATGGATCGTTGAGCGCGAGGAAAAAGAATCGAACGCAATCAGTAGCTATCGGAGCGTCGCGACGCCCACGCTTCGCAGCGGCCAGCTTTACGGGCGTCCCCATCTCGCGGATTTTTCTACAACTCCGGGCGTCGCGACGCCTTAGCGGCTAATAAGAGACGCTGTCCGTGCCGCGAACCGTCCACTCGCGTAGCGGCATTCGCTACGGCTACGTCTTTCCCCAGTAGATCTATTTTTAAATCATAATACAGAAATGTATCTTGGATACCTGCAACACTATAAGATTTTATATGAGATATCGTGTGAGACCTTATATGAAGAATTATGTGATTTAGTGCACGAGACACTTTGTCAAAATTTATTATTATTGTATATAACTCCTGAAGAAAATGAAATTAGTATGGACAGTACTGATGGAGACACATCAGTAAAACAAGAATAATAAATCGAGGTGCCAAATTATTTTTTAAAGATCTGTACAAAGATCTAAATTCTATTCAAATGATTTCAATACTATTTTAATCATATCAGTTTTATCATCGTTTGAAGTTTCCTCAAATTTTGAAAAACATCTTACATTGTAAAACGAAGAACTTCCTTATCAATAATTCTGTTAATACCAAATTCTTGTCAAATTTTCGTGATACTAAGATTTTCGAGATGAAACGAGGCTACAAAGACTGTTTGGTTAGATGCATGCGTTTCTACACACAATCATATTTATTAGGCCGAGCGAGAGAGCCCAGTCGTGCAAGATTTATCTCTGGCCAAGGAAAGGACGTTGATTTAAGATCGTGGACTGTATTATAAAACGGCGCATGCTTTCTACCTTTGCTGGCCCCCTTTTTTTCCCGCCCCATCCAGCACCGCTTTATCCTTGGTTCGTGTCGCGCATTAATTGATCCCTAGTTGATTTATAAACGCGACTGGATAATTACGATCGTGCCACGACGAAATTTTATATCGTTCAAACGATTGTCTGTTGTCGAAAAATTTCCTACGAGGCAAAGGACAAACTTGTATTCACGTGATATTAAAATTCTTATTGTGTGCAGCAGGAAATGACAATTTTTAATTATTAAACGTGTCTTATTGTGAAGATCCGTTCGCGAATTCCTTACGAGCTCGCGAAGAGGCAAAGTTGATCGCATCGATCGCGTCGATCTATCAAGACATTAGCCGACGATCACTTTGTCCGATTACGTAGTCGGTCATTTATTCGCTGTCCGAACGCTAATGGAAAACTATTCCGGCCCGCTTATTAACGATCGGAATGTCGTTAACAATAAGAAAAATTATCATCCATAACAACGCGTTCTCGTTACGATCTCTTATACAGTGGCAATCAAAAGTCAATTGAAAATTTGCGAATTCAATACACGAGTTCATCCAAAATAAAATAAACCTTATCAATTTTCTTCAAATAAGGACTAATCGATGATCAGAATTAAATATTTCATTATAGTAAGAAATTATCGCCTTCCATAATTTGATTCTTTAATCTACAGAAAAAACGTCAGCAATAATTATACTTTGGACAGATTTGCTCGGTTCGAATTCGGTCACTCGCTTTTGACGCCGGCTGTACGTGTGTGCGTCACGTTCGCGTACGCTCTCGAACGGAATTGATATCGGTGCGAAATCATTACTGGCGCGCGCCGCATTGGCTGCAATTTGCGTAACGATAACAATCAGCTTTAAGTGGAACAATAGGCTGCCGTGACGGTAATTAGTGCTGCGCGCTGTCTGGCGTGATGACAATTGCGCCAGCGACGAACGACTCGGCGATGGTAAAATAGTAACATTAATAACACCGATAGCGCAACGCACAATGCAATATAATAGATACAATGACGCGAGCGTTGTAGTCGTCGCCCGGACATAATGGACCGTTATTATGCATTCCCTTCCGTTAAATATTTAAATTGAACGTGGACAGCAGCCGGACTGGATTCGATTCTGATCAACGCTGTCGATTTTCAAAACGATATCCCGTAACGTTGCGTAATCGCCGTTTCGTTCGGCGAACCGTGGCTCCTCCCATTTTTTCACCCCCGTCATGGCTCTGAATTATTTTCTGATAATATCGAGACACGATGTGCTAAATCAATTTTAACTCGAATTCGAAGTTGTCAAAATTTTGGAAATATTCTTAAGAAAAATTTATACTCTCGTAAGGAATGTATTATGTGTTTTAATGTGACGAATACAATTTAGGATTAACAGTAATAAAATAAAGCATAGCGAGAGAGACAGGTAAAATGTAAGAGATAAATTATACAATAAAATGGAAGGAAAAGGTATTTTAAATTCTTGCCACGATGCTCTGACATTGAATTTCGCATATGTAAGTCGTTGTTGTTTCAGTTTCAGGTCATGCAAGCGAAAACGGCCCACTTTAATACCAAATTTAAAGTTTCTACGTTCCGTTAAACCGGCGACGCTGCTGACAAAAGGTAACGTTGATCCTCTTCAGCTTTTATTTAACTACAATTAATATCAAGTACATAATTGTTGTATCTACGTTATTAATTGATATAAAATTTAGCAATGGAAAAAGAAACAAGCTTCGTAATTTAATTTATACTGTTCATTTTAATTACAATTTTTTGATTGAATTCAATGGTTTCAAAATTTGTAAATAAGAAGTCATCACCAATAACTAATTAGGATTTTTTATTTCCCTCCCACTTTCTTCACTTCACAATAATTCTGTCATTAATTAATTCAAGAACAGTAAATTAGACAAAATACCTATTAACCAGTTTCGACGCTATGGAAATGAAATTCATTTATGGAAAAATGCAAAAGAATGTAGAAAAAAGGACGAGGGGGGGTTACTAAAAAAATTTTCTGGCTTTCCACACGGATGTGCGGCCAGGCCAGGCCGCGAACGGGCATTGAATATAGGGACGGAGACGAAAACGTTTCTCAAGGCGGCCTGGCGACGGCACACGGTCGACCTTTATTGGAATATTTATGGCGGCTGGCTGTACGAGACGAATTTTTATCGATCCGCCATGCCGCGGTGCGTTGTGCGGCGTCGATGCCTAGGTTCGGGCTCTCTCCACCCGACGGAAATCGCGATATTTATTCATAAGCCTACGGTTAGATAGAAGAGGAGGCTAGCGCGGATCGCGCGCATAATAAAACCCGCGTCGCGTATTGCTCGGCCGGCTGTCGCTCCGCTTCTACTTACCCCTACCTCCTTCGCTGCGCGCTTGACGTTGATTCGAAGACGTCTTCTTCTCGGTCCGGTTTTTACCATTCCCCGTTGCTTTTATTTCATTTTAACCCTTGTTAACATACAATGTACGAAGCCGGTTATACTTTCAAAATAATTGAACGACGGCATCAATTATATTATATTACTCAGTTTATTAGAAACGGCATAGCTGGTTTGTCGTAATTATAATCGAGCTTGCAATAACCGGAAGTCCTCGATTGGTTTTACAATTACTAAACCGTATAATTTGATTGGTCCAGCAGTTCCTCTTTAATTGAACACGCATCAATTTGAGAAATTTCGTCGGTCGCTACCAATATGTTTTCCGGCGTGGCCCTCCTCTCCTTTGTTTCATCCGCCCTGTGGCAGGGAACGACGTGGAGAAACGCCTACAAACTTATTACCGGCTCCTCTTGCCTGGCGCTAGGTGTTATTAAAAATTAAGGAGCGGGGATTCTAGACGCGGTTGCTGCAAGTCACCGGCATTGAGTGACCGGGAGACGTGCGGCCGTGCGTAATTAAAAAATTAGAGGGACGGCCGCGCGGGCCACCGGTTTGTTAGTTTTGCCACCGCCCGCGCCCGAGGGAAGATGAGTCTGCGTTCCCGGGGTTGGAACCTTGCTCCCTTTTACATTTGATGTTCGCTCGTGGCGCCAGGAAATGAGAGAGAGAAAGAGAGTTTTATCTACTTTCGCTTTGCCTAGCTCCTCCTTAATATATTTTTTTCAATGAACACCTCTCATCCATAATTTTCATTATTTTCGATACGATCTTCTAATATTAGATCTGATATATTTTTAAATTTCTGAGAAGTACGTCTTCTATATTTGACGTAAGTGCGATGTTTCTGTTGAATTAACTCTGCACGCGGTTGATTGATGGAAAGTCAGTGTGGAGCGAATGGGCGCTTAACGCTGCATTTAGCCTGGCAACGAAGCCAGTAGAAACACGGTCTAGTTTCAGGATGGAAGCGGTACCTCTTAATTGTACACACAACGTTTCCGCTTGGAGAACGAGAGACATTGACTGTAGATGTTTACGTGTATTCACACCGAGAGTGAAGAATTGAGTCATTTGTCATGAGTTAAGGAGGTATACGCTACTATGTAGTTACCTTTGACAATTTTTTAGAATCGAGGTCTAAAAGCATTTGATTGTTCGAATTGACGAGTAAACAGAATCTGATAGTAGCTGAAGTAAATGTTTTAGAAGGAATCAAAGAGAGCAGGTGAGAGGCAGGTAAAAGGAGTGTAGAAGGAGGAGGAGGTGGAGGGAACAGTCACGGGCAGAGTATTCGTCTTATCCGGAATACTTTAATATCGGATATGGCAATAAATTACGTATCGACTCTTCCTCTCTCAGTTCTCTTCTCTCTCGCTACCATTCGATCATTGTTTCTCTCCGTCGCGTTACACGACCAAGCAAATATCCCGTACGAACCGGGTAATATAATCACACTTAATGACGGCCGATAGGAACATGTAACATCGGCGTTGCACGAGATACCGGTTACCGATAAGGGGACGTGTTTTTCGGGACACAAGCCGCTCGTAAGTCCCCGCCGTTACATCGGGAACTGAGACTGGAACACTCGCAGGGACACGCTGCGCTGGACGTTGTATTTTATGTATTACGCGGTGGCTAATCTGGCCGGGCTTGAACCCCGGCGCGGTTTAATTTAAAGTTCGCCCGGTATTCGTAATATTTAATGCCCCCGCAGAGGGATATCGGTTCTACGCGACGAGATGACTCGTGGAATTTGTGAGTCGAGGACAGAACGATGTCCCTTGGTATGGTACGCCGCTCTATTGATTATAGAGAAAATTTAGAATTCTTTAAAAATGTTTCTGTACTATTAATAGAATCTGCAGTTTTGTGTTAGTATTTCATTCAATCTCTCGTATCACACATTCTCATTCTCTACAATTTATTTAAGATTGTTTATCCCCTATATTTTATACGAACAATTTCGATTAAAATGCTGCATAATTTCGTTCACTGAATCACCGATTCACAAATGAAGCTTCCTTTGTATAATCCATTTTCAATAAGAATATCGTTCCTTCATCCTATTGTTTTTATCTCATCCACCCACACTGAACATCGGACGCGATGAAGGGTCCGGTGTCACGCGTATACCGAGAGTTATGGAAGAGCAAACACGTACACAGAGAGCGGCTCCCCGTATTAGCATTTAGTAATTACCTTATCGAGTCGATCGGCCTGTAGTACATAGCGTATCGAGCTTGTATCTGCGTTACGTCCTTCGCGCCTTGGTGGCACGCGAGCGATTATCGATGCCCCCGCCACGTTCATCACGAACCTTACGTTCCCGGTCCGCTCGAGGAATCTACTACTTATTTAACGTCACGTGCCTCCTTCTGTTCTTCTTTCCGCGTTAAAAAGAGATTTCTCCATTATTAGTTGATACGTCGCCCTATCGATCATCCCTCGCCAAACATTCCTCGTTCGAACTGCCAGCATGCAAACTTCGAACGTCTCATAGTCATCGATAGTCAATATCTATATGTATAATAGATATATTCAATTAAGGTGATACGTAAAATACAGATATGACAATTTTCTCCACGCTCTCGCACGCACTGCTTTTTCAGCCGTTTGTACCCTGATGGGTTTTCTGCTTTTCTTCCCTCTTTTTAAAAAGTACCGACGCTGACACGCGGATTTTATTGAGCGTCCGAACATCTGCAAGGCATATTACAGGTAACGTTTGACCCTATCGTAAAATATACCCTTGACCAACTACCTGGTCTGCGCGGGTGTCTTGCATTCCCACATTAATTAAGACATCTCGTATCTCCTGTTCAAAATTGTTTCCCAATCGATCGTTCAGACGTTAATACATATTTCAGTAACAAAGATATTGTTCAAGCTTTTATGTATTCAAATAATATACTAGTCAAGTATTCATATGCTTAAATCAAACGAGAAGGTATTATCCCCTTCCCCGCGTTGCAAATTATTGTTTTAATATCGTTCCTTAGCGCACTCGTTTAAATCACTTAACCGTTTCCTCGGCGTAATCGGATTGGGAGCACCTTCACTCAGCTCGTTTTCCATATCTATTTCCCTCTTTTCCAAAGAGAGATTCAGAGGTTTTACATTAGAGGCAAATCCGATGCCATTAACGAGAAGATTCTTCCATTCCTTGTTTTTATTATTCCACGCTTTTCTCGCCACGGTGCACTCGAGTAATTCCATTTTACTGCGTCGGTTACCTGACACCACGGACCGGTTCGTCGGACCACACGACTCGAAAACTTTTCAGGGCTCCTTTATCCGGCTGTCTTAATCTCTTAACTAGAAGAACCACGATTGTTCATGTAATTAGTGTCAACACGATCGTATTACAGTATCTTGTCATAAATCTTCCAGTTGAATTAGCAATGATTGAGGGTTTCTTTAAACCAATAATTTGAATTGCTTTCTTTTCAGGCTAATTTTCAATTATTCCAGATTATTTTATGATATTTTTCTTAACGATTGCAAAAGTCTATTGAGAAAATACGATCTTCGATAAGAAGAAATATATTGCTTTATAATTTCCAAAACCAGAAAGTTTATTGTGGACCAGCGATGTGGCGATGCTTTCGTTTTATTGCGAGTTACAAACGGGAACTTGAGGAAGGTCAGGGCTAGTTCCCCGACCCCGAAACGATTCCATCGTGTACATGTGCGCCGTGGCCACGCATAGCTCTGGTTTGACTACAGCGACAGTCAAAAGTGAACGTATCATATTTTATAGTAGAATAGAATTCAAGTAATTTTGTATAATCGTAACATACATGATAGATTCAAGGATGTTTGTGCATTTTTTATGTTTAAGTTGTATTGTAATTCGTATTGTTTGTACAGCTTGGGACAATGATTTCTGGTGAATACAAGCCGGAGCTGGTCAGTTTCAATCATTGTCCCAAACTGTAGCTGTACTTGTCAGGAATCGAAAAACGTCCTATGCAATTTCTTTCTAATTCTACTCGTTAAGTATTTGGCGACAGACGAAATAATTAATGAATTACTCAAGTAACGAGGCTATTACCTACAAGAAAGGTTGTATACAATCTTTTTCTATACCTACAACTTTTATTTCAAGTATTTCTCGAAATTTTAACAAAAAAAAAATTTTCGATTTTTTCGAGATTTTTCCAAGGGGTACCC